AAACAAATATTTTACATGACTTGTTGCATAAATAGGATGAAGAGGAGAAAGAAAAATTTAAAGGCAAATTTGGAACATTTCTGAGCAATATATACTATAGAATACATGATAACCTAATGAGAAATATTTGAACATTTTATGAGTTGGGATGTTTATATGCAGATTTAACCAATAAGATAACACACTTAGGAAGTAATCTGGCATTGATGGGGAAGAAATTAGTTGATTTAATTGGTCTTTTGCAAGTGAAAATTCACTGATGACATAAAACTAGAACAGATATTTCCTTTTTGAGTTTTGGGTGATTTGGGTATTGTCATTTATGTGTAAGAAGGAGTCAGGATAGTTCTGTGGTAATGTTCTGGAAGCTCCACTTGCAGCAGGCCTTTTGCCAGGCCACATTGTAAAATCTCAGCTTTTCTGTAATTATGTGCTTTCCTTTTCTACTATGATAATTCTTCCTCATAATTCTATAAAGTAATTTAAAATAGAAATTAAATATATAAAATTATTATGGCATCTCATTCTATGCACTAGGTAGGTTCTTGAAAATACACATAGATAAAGTAAAACCAGGAGCAGATAGGGGTTGGATACCTGAGAAGCATAGGAAAGATGCCAAAACCTAATTTATACAGAAAAGAAGTTTTTGTTGGTGGTGGGATGGGGAGTATTTTGAGCAATGTTGAATCATAACAGGAAAATACAAATTTGGAAAGGAGCAAGGGCAAAGGTGAGAGTGCTAGGGAAAATTCAAGGACAGGATTTAAGAGCTAAGGAAGTCTGGGAGCTAGAATTGCTGTAGACATTTTTTTTTTCTTTTTTTTTTTTTCTTTTCTTGTTCAAAAAAATACTTGCTCTAGAAATAATTGTTAGTTCAGCATAAATGACTAAAAGGCTTTACATTTTCTGATTCCTGTTATATTATTCATCTGAGAGTATGCTCTGGAGGGTCTGGAGCAGGGGAATAAAAAGGAGAGAGGACCATAGTTAAAAGAGGAAGTTTCAGAATAACATTTGGTCTTTCTTTTCTTCACACTCTAGTTAGCAAATTCCATGCAAATTATTGCTGACTACTATGAAATGGAAAGTAAGTATATTTTATGAACTCTGTTAAGATAATTTGCTTATCAAAGAGAAGCATCTGTGCCCCAGTTAATGTTGATTTTTTTTAAAAAAGGTCATAAAACCTGATATGAATCTTCAGTTTATTTATATCTTTTTCTTGGGAATAACTTTTTTAAAAGGATTTACACTGGGGTGATGCAAAGGCATTCTTGGCTTCTTTCAGAAAATGTTATCTACATGTCTTAAACTTGCAGTTGTGCAATCAGCTATACAGAAGCCTAAGGAGTTCTGGATGCCTTTTCTGTTACCTGTCTGCAACCCTTGTAAGCACAATAGACAGGATTTGGCCAACACTGACAAAGTGTTTACTGTTGTTCAGCTCCAGGGCTTTTAACACAATAAGCCTGCAATTGTCTCTGTTCACACTTTACATCCTGTTTTCATAACTGTACCCTTAATAATTGACCAGATTGCTTCTCAGGAAGACTTTTGAATGATTCATCATCTTAGAAGTTCTACAGTAGGTTTAATTATTTCAGAAAACAAATTATTGCTCAGTAACCTAATTTAAATTGCTATGTGAGTGCTGCAAGAGTGTCTATTGAGGAAGACATATACATGGATTTCTCAAATTCTGTAGTGTGAAGTGAGAAAACATCTTAGTGAGCATTTGTAGCTTTTTCTTTTATTTTGAGAAGAAATCTTGCTCTGTTGCGCAGGCTGGAGTGCAGTGGCACAATCTCAGCTCACTGTAACCTCTGCCTTACAGGTTCAAGCAATTCTTCTGCCTCAGCCTCCCTAGTAGCTGGGATTACAGCTGCACGCCACCACTTCTAGCTAATTTTTGTATTTTTAGTAGAGACGGGGTTTTGCCATGTTGGCCAGGCTGGTTCACCTGCCTCAGCCTCCCAAAGTGCTGGGATTATGGCCGTGGGCCACTTCGTCTGGCCTGTAACTTTTCTTGATCCTCTGATTTATGAGGAATCTCTTCTCTTCCAATTAGCATGTATTTAAGAACTTAGAGGAAAGCTGTATAGTGGATAGTATTTAATGTCTGACCTGAGTTCAAATTCTAGTTTTTCTATCCAGGTGGAGTAGCTGTGTGATCGAGAGAAAGATATTTAATTTATTTAAACCTCAGAGCTTCTTCTATAAACCTGAGTATAGCACCTACTTCACAGAGTTGATATAAATATTAAACAAGTTACTGTATGTAAAATGCTTCCTATACTGTGTAACACTTAAGAGCTATTAAAAATATGAAGAGAGCTATTAAAAATATAAAGGTATAAATGTCACTATATTTGACACATGCAAGCCCTTTATTGCTTTAATGTCTTCTCCCTCCAAAATAGAATAAAGCACTTTAAAGTGGGCATTATCAATAACAGACTTAGTTATTCTATTGAGAAGTTATGTTTATCTTCCTCATAGATGCTAATTCCTTGCTAAAACATTCTGGATTCATTTGTTATTGCTGAGTACTTCTGTATTCCTGAGATAGAACAGGTGCTGATTGCTGACTTTATTGTGAAGATAGAAGACCTCATTTATCTGACCAAGAAAGAACTAAAAATCTATATGCTCATGCCAAAGGAAAACTAATTAATATGAAATTTCAGTATCACAAAAGAAAAATATTTGTTAAGATAAAATTAACATCATGGGTCTATCACATGAGATTTTCCATCAGTTAAAGTGAATTAATGTAGAAGGTAATGGGGAACTTAAGCTTTTAACCTGAATAATTATATAAAATAATTAGATAATTCTAAAATGAGTGGATTTTTTTCTGTAAAAGTCATTAATATAATACTATAATAAAATTTATTTTAAAACATTAATTTCAGACTGGCATTTTTAGAAAGAACTAAACAGAAAGTTGATACTAAATAGACTTTATTTTCTGTATGTTTGCAGATATAATTGTGATTGAGTAAATGCAGGTAACATATGAATAGTTATTACATTTGTCTTCTTAGGAATATCCTAATACTATGGATCCTATATAGACATAGACGTTTTAGGGACACAAGGTACAAATACGTAATACAATCAGATATTAGTACTGTGTATGATTAAGCTCTTCCTGTGCCTTGGGAACTATTGTCTGGGACTTCTATTAACTGATGATTTAAATTAAAGTTGTCAAATCAATATTTTACATGTCGTCTCAAAAAGCTTTAAGATCTTTTAGAGAAAATTATTTCAGATAAAAGGAATTCACATGTGGTATGAAGTCGTACAGAATCATAGTTCAATTTGGGAAGTCCGTGTGTCTTAGCTGTAAGCCATAACACATCATGAGTTAAATTCAAAACTCTTCATTCATCACTTCTTTTTTTTTTTTGGCTTGGTGCTTAAGTCAGCCCATTCTGCCCACAAATAAGCTGTGATAAAATACAGTAGGGTTGTTCTAAAGTGCTCTGGCTTCCATTACAAAGAAACTTCTATTCTTTGTTCACTAGAGATGCACAAAAGATACTCTAAAATTGGAAACTAATCATGGAGTGAACCAGAAAACAGGGTGCTAGTATCAAGGAACATTCCTTTGGTTTATATTGTTAAAAGTTGGGGTGCTGTAGAAAGTTCATACATACATAAGAGGGTCTATTTGCTTATAAGTTTAATTTTCAAAAAAGAGCATTAATGTAGATTTCAAGATTCATTTGAAGAATTGGATATTCACTGTCTGAAAGAAAACGTCACATCATGTTTATGTTTTGTGTTACAAACTTAATGTTTTTTAAAAAATTTTTCCTTAGTTTCTCAAGTATGGTTGGGTTCATAAAGGAAATTTACTTTCAGATAACAAAGTCACTGTATTTTATCTGGAATGAATGATGAAAACTTGTTGCTTAGCTGTTCATGGTAAGGGCTATTTATACTGTGAGTTTTTAAATAAGCTCATGAGCTAATCTACTATATTTAAGGGTTTAGGCAAATTTTGTAATACACCCCCAGGATATTAGAGCTCTCTTCACAGTACTTTAAGACCTAGCCTGTGAGTTCAGTATGTTTGCTTGTAACGTACCTGTTGGTACAATTCTTTTGCTCAAAGACTGATAGAGAAACTATAAAGCATTCATCATGGAATGACTTGAATGTGCTTCTCATGGGACAAGTTAATATCTTAGCTACTGCTTTGTCTTTTTTATTTTACCTCAAAATATTGTTTTAAATTTTGATTTTGAAATCGATTCAATTTCTCCCAATTCTTTGTGCTCTTATTACTGTAAATGTCATTAAAAAACCTGATTTTAAAATAGAGACTATGAGAAAATAGAATTGCATATCACTAAAAGTGACGCCATCCTCCTCTTCCCTTTGCTTTTCCCTTTTCCTCTCTCCATTTTAAGCCCCCACCCTATTTTTTTTTTTTTTTCACACTGTGACATCCAGCTGGTTCCTGGCAGGGTTTCAGGTTTGAATTTTCTGACAAATAAAGAAACTTTTTATTTTATCTTGAAATACTTTTTATTTTATTTTAGAACAGTTTTTACTTATTTATTTATTTTTATTTTATTTTAGGTCAGTTTTAGATTCATAACATTATAAAAGATAATACACATATATCCCCACACCCAGTTTCCTCTATAATTAACATTCTCCAATTGTATAGTATAGAACATTTGTTACAATTAATGAACCAATATTGATATATTATTATGGTGGCTGTGTAATAGCAATATGACTTAGCACTGTTGATATTGACCTTGATCATTTGGCTTGAGGGGTTTGTCAGGTTAAAATCTTACTTATATTTTTTCTGAAGGCCATCAAAGGGGTTTCCTGAAAATTTTAATGAAATATTCATTTGATTTTTCTTTATTGGTGTTGTGGTAAATTTACTTTAAGTTTCTAAGTATTTAGGCAAAAATAATTTTGATGGTGGTAAAGAACATCTTATCTTTTTTTTTTATATGTTGTAGGTGGGAATGAGATCTCGAAACCAAGGTGGTGAAAATTCATCTGATGGGCATATCTCCTGTCCCAAGCCTTCCATCATCAGCAATGCTGGTGAAAAAAGTCTCTCAGAAGATGCAAAAAAGAAGAGGAAATCAAATAGGAAGGAAGATGATGTCATGGCCTCAGGAACTGTCAAACGACACCTAAAAACATCTGGAGAAAGTGAACGAAAGACTAAGAAATCCCTGGAGTTATCCAAAGAAGACCTCATCCAACTACTCAGTATAATGGAAGGGGAATTGCAGGTAGAGTCAAACTTTCCCAACTGTTGTATTTTTGGTTTCTATAAGCTATAAAATAAGAGAATGTAAATCTGTTCCCCTCTCTGAATCATGAACTTTATAGGGAAAAAGATATGTTTCCCTTATGTCTAAATCCCTAGTGCCTGGCACAAGTTTTCACGAAACAAGTATTTGTTGAATGAATGATAAATGAAAAAGTGCCAATTCTAACTTTGAACTTCCCTAAAAGCATAAAATTTCTTCATTATATGATTTTGATAATGATTTAATACAGGCCCTTTCAGTCAGTAGGTAATCAATTAGGTTATCTAATTTAGACATTGACTGTGACAGAAAAATGCAGAAATACAGTGATGATTAAAATGGAAAGTTAAGGTCAATTGTTACTTTTGTTATTTTTCTAGAAGGTAGAGTAAAAGAGAGACGGGGAAATAGAGGCAAAAAAAAAAGGCCTTCTTGAAACTAGCCTTATTACACAGTCTTTTCTCTCTTTTTTTTTTTTAACTTTCAGCCTCAATATTCTATAACATCATAGGAGATGAGATGCACACAAATAAGCAGAGCATTGCATTCATTATGAAGTACCTAATAGTTTCCTAAGCATTTTCAAATCTACTATCTCATATGATCACAATAAAAATGTGGATATCATCTGTATTTTATAAATGAATAATCTGAGGCCTAGAAGGATTAAAGGTTTGTCTAGATCTCATCTCAGCCTTCCTGATTCTTCATCCTATGCTCTTTCCTCTGTCACCCCCAGCAATCTTATTTAGTTGCCATGAGCCAGGTCCCTCCCTCCCATTAAGTTTGTATTTCTAGGGACCCAGGAGGCAGGCAGGAAGTCAGGATTCTTCTGAATTTTTGAGCCTTGAACAAGTAGATTTCTGGAAGTAGAGAAAGAATACTTTTTTTTTTTTTTTTCCCGAGAAGAATATAACTTAGAAAGAGGAGCTACTATTTTCATTTTTGTTTTTATTAGTTTCTTAGCTTGCATGAGCCTCTGAAGGAATAATATTAATAACAATTGCATGAAATAAAATCCTTGTTGGCTTATGGATACTGTTAGCTTTTGAGAGATAATTGCAACCTACTCTAAACTAGAGTGAGTCACTCTGTTCCTGTTATCATCTCTGTGTGTATACAGATAAGGAAACCCCTGGGGTAAAGAAAAACAAATAACATACAAAACTGGTGTTTAAACTAACAAACAAATATGATTGAGCTTACCATTTACAGACTGAGAAAAATCATGTTGGCATTTCACAGCAAAAGATAAAATATTCTAGAGCAACCACTGTTACTAAAAATAACTTAATCACTCCCAAAAATGTGGTTAGTATTTTTGTTTATTAACAATTGTTGTGTACAGAGGCAGAATTACTTCACCATTTAAGCTGGCCCTAGCTGAAGCTATTGACCTGAGTGAAAGGTACAATTTTGCCTTAGAAACCTTCACAAAACAACATCATTAGCTCACTTCTCTCCATCCATGGAGGCTCTTGCAAAGCCAGTGGCTCTTGCAGACTCTAATTTCTGTATAAGGCTGTTATACTGTTATATCATGTTAAACTCTGGAAAGTATTTAAGATTCATGTGATTTTTATGTTCATAGTGGTGCTAGATATGGTTTCAGATCCTGGCTATGCAAAATATAAACTCAGACTTCTGAGATATTAAAGAAATTAGTCAGAAGTCTCCAAAGACATGCATTTTGCTTTCCATTAATCTTTATAAATACAATATACTAAATTAAATAACAGATATATTATGGAGCAGCTATCAATAAGTAAAAAGTGCAAGACATCATTTATGTGGGAGGCAATGAAGAGAAAGATAAATGAAGGACTTGGTATTTTAAGGAATTCCATGGCTAAGTGATTTGCAAAGCAGATAATCTATTCCATATATAGATGCACACACACATATACAAGTCCATATATATAAGCATATGTCCTTAGAAATGCAGATTTAACTATGTTAGATTTGTTTAAAGTGAGACTGCTCCTATATTTAGAGCTATAAATATATATATATATATATATATATATATATATATATATATTCTTATAGTAGCAGACACCTGTCTTCTAGTAGCATTGTCACATGGGGGAGTGTTGTACTTAACAGTGGGAGGGAGTTGACATTAGCAATGTGAGTGGACTAGTGAAAATGTGGAAGTTACCAGCCAATATCATACTGAATGGGCAAAAGCTGGAAGCATTCTCTTTGAAAACCAACATAGAACAAGGATGCCCTCTCTCAACACTCCTACTCAACATAGCATGGGAAGTTCTGGCCAGGCCAATCAAGCAAGACAAAGAAAGAGTATTCAAATAGGAAGAGAGGAAGTTAAATTATCTCTGTGTGCAGATGACATGACTGTATGTTTAGAAAACCCCGTCGTCTCAGCTCAAAAACTCCATAAGCTGACAAGCAATTTCAGCAAAGTCTCAGAATAAAAACCAATGTGCAAAAATCACAAGCATTCGTATACACCAATAATAGACAGAGAGTCAGGTCATGAGTGAACTCCCATTCACAATTGCTACAAAGAGAATAAAATACCTAGGAATACAACTAACAAGGGATGTAAAGGATCTCTTCAAGGAGAATTACAAACCACTGCTCAAGAAAATAAGAGAGGACACAAACAAATGGAAAAACATTCCATGCTCATGGATAGGAAGAATCAATATGAAAATGGTCATACTGCCCAAAGTAATTTATAGATTCAATGCTATCCCCATCAGGCTACCAATGACCTTCTCCACAGAACTGGAAAAAAACACTTTAAACTTTATATGGAATCATGAGAGAGCTCACATAACCAAGACAATCTTGAGCAAAAAGAATGAAGCTGGAGGCATCACACTGCCGGACTTCAAACTATACTGCAAGCCTGCAGTAACCAAAATAGCATAGTACTGGTACCAAAACAGATATATAGACCAATGTAACAGAACAGAGGCCTCGGAAGTAATACCACACGTCTACAAGTAACTGATCTTTGACATACCTGACAAAAACAAGCAATGGGGAAACGATTCCCTATTTAATAAATGGTGTTGAGAAAACTGGCTAGCCATGTGCAGAAAACTGAAACTGGACCCCTTCCTTACACCTTATACAAAAATTGACTCAAGATGGATTAAAGATTGTTTAAATCTTATGTTTGTAAGACCTAAACCCATAAAAACCATGGAAGAAAACCTAGGCAATACCATTCAGGACATTGGCATGGGCAAAGACTTCATGACTAAAACACCAAAAGCAATGGCAACAAAAGCCAAAATTGACAAATGGGATCTAATTAAACTAAAGAGCTTTTGCAAAGCAAAATAAACTATTATCAGAGTAAATAAGTAACCTAGAGAATGGGAGAAAAATTTTGCAATCTATCCATCTGACAAAGGGCTAATATACAGAAGCTGCAAGGAACTTAAAAAAATTTACAAGAAAAAAAACAACCCCATCAGAAAGTGGGCAAAGGATATGAACAGCCACTTTTCAAAAGACATTTATGTGGCCCACAAACTTATGAAAAATAGCTCATTATCACTGGTCATTAGAGAAATGCAAATCAAAACCACAGTGAGATACCATCTCACACCAGTTAGAATGGTGATCTTAAAAAGTCAGGAAACAGGCCAGGCATGGTGACTCATACCAATCCCAGCAGTTTGGGAGGCTGAGGTGGGTGGATCACCTGAGGTAGGGAGTTTGAGACCAGCTTGACCAATATGGTGAAACCCTGTATCTACTAAAAATACAAAAAGTAGTGGGGCATAGTGGTGTGTGCCTGTAATTCCAGCTACTCGGGAGGCTGAGGCAGGAGAATCCCTTGAACCTGGGAAGCAGAGGTTGTGGTGAGCAGAGATCGCACCATTGCACTCCCGCCGGAGCAACAAGAGTGAAACTCTGTCTCAAAAAAAAAAAAAAAAAAAGTCAGGAAACAACAGATGCTGGAGAGGATGTGGAGAAATAGGAACGTTCTTACGCTGTTGGTGGGAGTGTAAATTAGTTCAACCATTGTGAAAGACAGTGTGGCAGTACTTCAAGGATCTAGAACTAGAAACACCACTTGACCCAGCAATCTCATTACTGGGTTTTTACTCAAATGATTATAAATCATTCTATTATAAAGACACATGCACATGTATGTTTATTGCAGCACTATTCACGATAGCAAAAAATGGAACCAACAAAAATAGCAAATTTGGAACCAACCCAAATGCCCATCAGTGTTAGACTGGATAAAGAAAATGTGGCACATATATACCATGGAATATTATGCAGCCAAAAAACGAATGAGTTCATGTCCTTTGCAGGGACATGGATGAAGCTGGAAACCATCATTCTCAGCAAACTAACACAGGAACAGAAAACCAAACACCACTTGTTCTCACTCCTAAGTGGGAGTTGAACAATGAGAACATATGGGCACAGAGAGGGGAACATCACACACTGGGGCCTGTTGTGGAGTGTGGCAAAGGGAGGGATAGCATTAGGAGAAATACCTAACGTAGATGATGGGTTGATGGGCGCAGCAAACCACCATGGCACATGTATACCTATGTAACAAACCTGCACATTCTGCACATGTATCCCAGAACTCAAAGTATAATAAAAAAGAAAAAAATCTAAAAAAAAATGTGGAAGTCATGTGCTATGTTTGCCAGACTAAAGATATGGAAAAAAAAATCTTTCTGAAATGCTGGTGCTGGGAGGAGAAGCAGGACTATATCTTATGAGGTAAGTTACCGTCAGCTCAGGCTGTGTGTCATCTGGCTTGATATGTATGGAGCATTTAATGAGTTGTCTCCCAGATCTCCAAAGACCACATATTGCTCTCTTTTAATGGGGTGACTTTATATGACTCAGATGCCCTTACTCTGGAAGTGGTGTTTGGAGGTTATAATTGCCTGATGTGTACTTCATGCTTGCTACATAAAGAAAACCAACTTTCTGAAATTGTGGTATTGCAGCAGAAAAACAGTTTA